TCTATTGCCTCTCCATAGATCTATACCTAATTTGATTTGGGAAGAAGATTCGCACTAAAACCCAGTATCCTTAAGTTTATGAATTCTCTGGAATGTGCTGGAAAACTTCCAAAATGCTCCTGATTCCCAGTAAGTAAGTTTACTCAAGGAAGGAATAGAATTGATGTGGGTTATGTGTCAGTTCCCAGACAGGGAAGCAAACATTCCCACCAGGGTCAGAAGTGGCCTAAGTACCATTCTTACTGTGGAGTTCTGTGGCAAAATGGAAATAGTATTGGCTTTAAAATCTATAGACACTATGTTTGCCTCCCAAATCTAAACATTTGAGATCCTTATTGTCCATGTCAGGAGCTCTGTTGGCACAAAGTTTAAGCTCCTGACTGCTAACCTAAAGGTCGGTAGTTCAAACCCACCAGCCGCTCTACAGGAGAAAAGACTTGGCGACTTGCTCCCGTGTAGATTACAGCCTAGAAGCCCTTATGGCGCAGCTCTATGCTGTTTGATAAAATTGCTCTGAGTTGAAATCAACTCAACAGCACACACAACTATCCATATGACTTTGAGTTAACTTGTTTCTTCATCTATAAAATGAGAATACTATCACTCATGTCTGTTTATTAAGCTATGTATATGAAAGTGAATTATATACTACAAATATGAGATATTGTTTATTCCTAAATAGTTCATTCCTAAAATGAAAAAAAAAAAAATCACAGAGCAGTCTTTCTTACCTTGTTCTACTTTTACATTTCATGGCAATTATTCTTACTACATTACAGAGATGTAATGAATTAAGAATGAACTATTTAAATTGTTCTAAATAGTACAGACATGTTAGATTATGTAAGCTACTAAAATCATCACTTCCCTCTCCTTCATTAGTCACTGCAGGTAGACGTTCAAGTCACACAAAGAAAGGGAGACACTGAGAAATAGGAGTGGACACCCCAACTATACTGAGACAGTTTTTCACAATGGAGATTTAACAGCTCAGAATAGAGCAGGCTGGGTCTCTGAGACCCAATAATTTCACAGAGATAAAATAGATGGCTGGGCCTGGTATCATCAGCAAGTAGTATTGTCGTTAACCTCCCACGTGGTTCCCACATCTTCAAAATGAAAGCCAGACTCCTTCCCAGGATGCACAAGGCTTCACATGAGCTCATTGCCAATAATGTCTTCTCCCACAGCTTTCCTTTCACACACTTTATTCAAGACATGCTGGTTGATCACCTTGTTTCTTGAGCAATAGCTAGCTTCTGCCTCAGGCCCTTTGCACTCACTCATTTCGCCTATAATACTTTTGGCCTCTCCCACTTCAAGGTCTTTAATCAAGTTACATTCAAAGAGAAGTAATTTCTAATTACTCAATCTACAATTTCAATCCTGTCTCCCTTTTTATAACTTTAATCTCTGCTTTTTCTTCTTACTCCAGGATGGCTATGAGTCGGAACAAATTCGACAGTACTTAACAACTTTAAAACATAATACATGTTTTCCTTATCATCTTTGTTTCTCCACCCCCACACCATATTCCCTGCACATTAAAAAAATATTTAGCTTTGAAGGTACATGTACCCAGTAAATGTAATAAATATACAATAGCCAGTTAATTTCTATCACTACTTAACAAATCACCGTCAGAAATAGTGGCTAAATCAACAACCACTTTATTTTCCTTACCGCCTTGGGAGATGACTGGGCTCAACTCAGTGGGTCCTACTTAGGGTCTCTCAAAGGACAGAGATGAAACTACCCAAAAGCTTGGTCTCTCACGTCTGCTACGTGGGTTGACAAGAGTCCAAATTTGGGGGCTGAAACAGTACAGGGGGCTCCTCAGGAGTATCTTCTGTTTTCTTGATGAGGTCTCTCCAAGGATGGTGTTTTGAGAGAAGATATTTTTTACATGGTGGTCTTAGGAGACTGAACAAATACTCCGAGAGAGAACCATGCAAGGAATCTATCACCTTTAATGTCCCAGCCTCAGAAATTAGTGGCACTTCTGCCAGTATACTCTATTACTCAAAGCAGAAAAAGGCTCACCCAGGTTCACTAAGAGGAGAAACAGTCTTCCTTTTTTAAAAAGTGGGGAATGGCAAAGTTCTGGAACAAGTGGTTCAGAAATATTGGTGTCCCCATTTTTGTAAAATACTATCTGCCACATCACAAAAAAGAAAATTAAGGTCAAAGACAGTTGTACCAGCAAGTAAGTAGAGAATGATGTGAGAGCAGACAACAGGTATTGGTCCTCACAAGCAAATAAGGAAATATTGACAAGTTACAGGGATTCAACCACATGCACTACAGTTTGACAATGTTAAGTTAGAGATGTCAGAATCAATAGGGTATAATAAACAGCAACAAAGGACTGGTCTCATAAGCCTTTTTTTTTAATGTTTTATTGTGAATTATGTGATAGTTTACATATCATTAGTTTTACATTCATTCTATCGGATATTGCCTCTCATTGCCATGGTTACAATCCCCTCCATGCAATTCTTCCCCCGTATCCCCCAGGTCTTCAGCACACAGTCGCTCTCCCTCTCTGGATCTAAAGTCTCCAGCTGCTCCATCGCTCCATGTCATCATCTCTGCCTCCATTTCAGGCATCACTGCTTCTCTGGGTAGGGTCCCGCTCTCTGCTCTTCTCCCTTGATGGTCCTAGGGGCCTCCGCCCCTAGACTGAAAAGTTAATCACTCCCCTCCTTGCTATAAAACGTCTACCTTTACATCTCCAACCCTCACAATCAGTCCTGATAATTATTCAATATTGTATCACAAGAGACCCATCTGCATTTCATTGCATCAACCCCGCCTAGACAGATTGACTACTACTTACTGGAGATTCTACCTTCCTCCAGGCCCTCTGCATCTAGGTTCCCTCTTGAAAGCTTGTAAGCCAGTCACTTCTTGCCTTTGTTTTAGTTTATCCACAGCACTTAACACGGTAATTAATATTGGCAAGGTTGAAACTTCAAATGTTTTATCAACAAGCATTTCAGCTTCATTTTTATCACATGAAAAACTATGCTGAGCAAATATTTTTAGAAGCTGGACATTTGAACTGTACTGGGGGATGTTGTTAAGTGCTGTCGAGTCAGTTATGAGAACTCATATGACCCTGTATAGTGTTTCCGAGCAGCTGGTGGGTTTGAACCGCCACTCTGTGGTTCAAATCAACCTTGCAATCTAGTGCTTATCCTACAGCGCCACACCAGGACTAAAGGGCATATGGCAGGGTTTTAAACCAGGAAAGATGTTTATCAGGGCTGTAGTTCGAAACTATCAGCAGTTCCACGGGAGAAAGATGAGGCATTCTGCTCCCGTAAAGATGTACAGCCTCGGGAACCCTGTGCAGGATCGCTATGAGTCGGAACCGACTCCACGGTACTTAACAACATCCTTTCACCATACTTAGTCTACAGGTTGGGCAAACAATCCGAGAAACTGGACTATATGAAGAGCATGGCATCAGGAGAGGAGGAAGACTCATGATATGCAGATGATAAAATCTCACTTGCAGAAAACTAAAGACACTTGAAGCACTTATTGATGAAAATCGAAGACCATAGTCCTCAATATGGATACCGCTACAGAAAGAAAATTAAAATCCTCAGCTGGACCAATAAGCAACATCACAATAAACAGAGAAGACTGAAGTTGTCAGGGCTTTATTTTACTGGGGTTCACAATCAACATCCATGAAACCAGCAGTCAATAAGTCAAATTACAAATTTCATTATATTGCAGTTTTTTGTTGCAATTTTGTGGATTAAGGTATGTCTGACATAAGCCATGGTATTTTCAATAAGCCTCATATGTATGTGAAAACTGGACAGTGAATAAGGAATGTTTTAGAATTGATACATTTGAATTATGGTGTTGGTGATGAATATATAGCACAGACCATCAGAAGACTAACTAAATCTGTCTTGAAAACATAGCCAGAATGTTCTTTAGAAGTGAGATTGGTAAGCACATGTTCTAAGGAGAGGCTAGTCCTTAGAGGACATGCAGCAATAGAGAGCAAGAACCCCAATGAGATGGGTTGTGTTTGCAACAATGGGCTCAAACACAGCAACAATTGTGAGAATGATGCAGGACTGGGCAAGGTTTTGTTCCGTTGTATAAAGGGACGTGACTCAAAATCTGACACTATTAAACTGTGGCTTCTCTTTCAACTTGGGTTGTTATTAAGGGCTGTTGAGGCAGTTCTGACTCATAGCAACCCTGTGTAGGGTTCCCAAGGATCGGCTGATGAGTTTGAACCACTGACCTTATCGTTGAAACCTCTCTTGCAGTCCAGTGCTTTATCACACAGTGCCACACCAGGGTTGACTCCCAAATCAACAGAGAGTAATTGACTTTGAGTCCTGGCACAATTTATGCCACTATTAGCAGTACAGTGTGCCGAGTATATGGAGTCCTGGTGTGGCACTGTGGTTTAATGTGCTGGACTGCAAAGTCAGTTTAAACACAAGGTTGATGGAAGTTCACCAGCTGCTCCTCAGAAACCCTATACAGGGTCTTAACAACATATTTATATAGAGAGTATATCACGCTACTGATACGCATCTACAAGCCCTACAACTAGAAATAAGTCATTTCTAAAGGGAGTAGTGGCATAGTTCCAAATTTACTGATCTTCACATTCTTTCTAAAGAAGCATTAAATAATGAATTTAGAGAGACATGATATTCCTTTGTTTTCCCATGCATGCGTTTTTGTTGTTTCGGTTTTTTTTCAACTTAATATCGTAAAGCACCTTGGAATTAAATTTGACTCGTAGTGACCCTGTACAGGGTTCCCGAGGCTGTAATCTTTACAGGAGCAGCTGGCAGATTTGAACCACTGACCCTGCAGTTAGCAGCCTGACTGCTTAGTTTAATATTATTAGTATGTTTTGATGTGATACTGTTGCTTTGACCAGCTATTATAGTTGTAAAGACATACTCTTTCGTCATTTTACCAGGCATAACAATAATTTCATTAATTTTCAGTACTTGGATTGTCTCAGGATGTTGCAGGAGCAACTTTCATGGCAGCAGGTAGTTCAGCTCCCGAATTAGTTACTGCTTTCCTAGGTAAGTACTGCTCCTTACATTTTTGCTTATTTAATGTAATTTTATTTTCCTCAACACTAACAGCTATTATACTGATCACAGGTGTATTTGTCACAAAGGGAGATATTGGCATTAGTACCATTCTTGGATCTGCAATGTATAATCTCCTTGGCATCTGTGCAGCTTGTGGACTGCTATCAAACATGGTATGTAAGAAAATGTTATTCAACTAAATTTACTGTCATGTCAAATCATAAGAGCTGTTTATCATCTGCAAGAAAAACCAAGGTAATAGTAACATGTTCAATCAAATTTATTAATCAATAGGAAAACAATATGTATCCAATTGAAAGTTAATCCACAAATAACTCTTGGCCTAATTTATGACAGCCACTATAGGTTTTGAAACACACCTTTTCTTTAAAATTTCTCTACTTTGCTCTAAGCAAGATGCAAAAGATAACAGTATTTAGCTACAAACATAGTTTTGGTATTAGACTAAGCACTGTAATGGCGACATTTTACAGGTTTGAAATGGAACATTTTACAGGTTTCAACGCTATCCTGTTGGCCCCTATTCAGAGACTGCATGGCATATGCAATTAGTATAGCAGCAGTCCTTGGCATAATATTTGACAACCAGGTTTACTGGTAAGTTTGAAATGATTGTTATTTCTATGTAAAACAGTTACAGAAAGGATTTTTATAAAATTCATTAAGCTTCCTGTTTTCAGAAACATTATTTCAGTCACTTCTCGATTATCTATCACTTTGCCCCACTTCCTAATAGGTCTCTGGAGTTAACACCATCATGACAATTTTTGGTTGTTTTTTTTTCCTACTTTATCATTTCTTTTAAGTCACCTCTGTTTCCTTTGACCCCTAATTAATCTCTGGAGGGAGCCCTGATATGGAGCCACAGGATAAGTACTGGACTGCTAACCACAAACCCGCAGCTGCTCAGGGTTGCTTTCAGTAGCAATGAACTCAAGGGCACTTAACAATAATCCCTGGAGACAACTGCCCTCCTCTCACAAGTGGCTCCTGATTCATAAAGTTTCCCAATATGTTGCCAGTTAAAGACCCAGCAGTTGGCTGTTTATTTTATTGGTTATTGCTTTGCTCAGTTAGAAGTGGTCATGGGCACAAGGGAAGATGGTACAGGAAATAATGGACGAATACCTGGTGTGGCGCTGCGGGATAAAGCACTGGACCACAAAGTCGGTTTGAACCACGAGGTCGGTGGTAAAGTTACTCATCAGTCATTCCTTGGAAACCCTACACAGGGTTGCTAAGAGTCGGAACCAACTAGATAGCACGTAACAACAACCCTTAAGTTATTTTTCCAAAGTTCTCTCTGATGTTCATTTATCAAGAGAACCAATAATAGACATTTCCTCTAAGATATAATAATGTTAAAGTTTCAGTATTTTAACTGTTCATTTCCCCTGGATCTCCCTGTGTGTCTAGATGGTGCAAGTAAATGAATAAAAGGATGATTTAGTGGGCTGCTACTTTTTCAACTAATAAACACACCAGGCACTAACTAGGTGTTTACCCCTATCCCAGTACCATAGGGATAAAGAAATGCAAACATATCCCCCCTCGCAGACTGTACACTGCACAATCTGGAGGGCGTCCGAAAAACAGAAACCATAAATGACATCTCTCTGGAGGGTGTCCGAAAAACAGACACCGTAAATGACATCTCTCTGAAGTGCAACACATGACCCAACAGCTCTTCATACTTGTTTTCAAGGAACTTAAAATTTAGGATGCAACAGTTTCTAAATGAATCATCCTGAAAGCTAGTCCAATTTCCCCCACCCTACACACACACACATATACACACACAAATTGGCTTGAAACAGTAGGTATCCTCCTGGGATACAGCAATTGTCCATAGGTCCCATGACTATGAGAGTATTCAAGCTCCTTGCTCCCTCCATTAGGGAGCTCAAGTACACTTCTCTTCGAGCAGTATCAGAGATTCATTAGCATAAAATAAAAAGTGAATGTAAGGTCCAATGCAATAGCATAAGCCTATCACAATCCTTTAAGCAGGGAATCACGAGTATAAGTATAAAGCTTTTGGTACCTAACATCTAATTTTATTTGAGAATATCCTTTTCTTTCAAATACCAGCAAAATTTAGTACATTAAAATGGTCAAAAACAAATTCTCTGTAGTAAGTCAAGAAGTCATAGCCAAAGCCGAACATTAAGAATATATTTTTTCACACAATTCTTGGACCAGAGAATTCAAAAAGAACCAGATAATTAAAAGAGAATAGTAGAAAATTCTGTTAATGTCATACTTCGGGAAATGTTCTCTGTGAATGAACTGTGGTGAAAAGTAAGTATCCAGCAGTAGTCACTAGCTGGAGCATACCATCTGCGCACTGTTTCGTTCTGTGCTGCATACAGTTGCTGGGTCAGAGCCAACTCAATGGAAACTAACAACTGACTTATTTAGTTCTGTTTTGAAAATTCTCATTTCTTCTTTTCAAGGCATTCCTTTATGCTTCTACCAATTTGGAAGTAATCTACAGATGAAGACAATGAGTTTATGATTTCAAATTATTCTTGAAATATAGCAAGAATAGGGTTAAGTTGTTAAGTTGTTATCAATAAACATGTATTTTAAATGAGTTTGGAAAAATCTACAAATCACCAGTGTCTAGAAGTGTTTCATTGTTCTCAAGATGCTTTTGTTAAAAATTATTACTGTCGGAAAGCTATTAACTATAAAATGACTTTCACTTTGTTAAATTTAAAAATATACACTTCTCTTCCTTAATTTATAGGTATGAAGGGATTTCACTGCTTCTGATATATGGGTTGTATGTTTTGGTGCTGTGTTTTGACATTAAAATTAACCAATATATCATAAAGAAATGTAGCCCTTGCTGTACATGTATTGCCAAAGATATGGAGGAAAGAACTCTACAACCACTGCTGGGGTGGGAAGACGAGGATCCACCATTCAGACGTCGGCAATCAAGAACTGACAGTGGAGTATTTCATGAAGATTCTGGCTACTCCCAGTTCTCCATAAGTTTACATGGTCTTAGTCAAGTTTCTGAAGGTAATAACTACATCATGCCTACTATTCATTAGCAAATGATTAACTAATCACAAGAAAAACTAATCTCGTTTCAATTCAGCAAGTATTCATTGTGTACTTTTTATGTAAAAGAGACTGCCAAGATTCAGAGATGGTAAAGAAGTCGCCCCTATCTTTAAAGGGCACCCAAATCTTAAACAAGAAAAATAAGACAGATAAGATATTCCAGGATGCATGTGATTGTTGTTGTTGTTATGTGCCATGGAGTCAGTTCCGACTCATAGTGACCCTGCACAGGGTTTCTGAGGCTGTAAATCTTTACGGGTGCAGAAAGCCTCATCTTTCTCCCGCGGAACAGCTGATAGTTTCGAACTGCTGACCTTGTGGTTCATAGCCCAATTCGTAACCACTACGCTACCAGAGCTCCTTGATGCGTGCATAGACATAAATAAAGTGAAGCTGTGATCCATAAAACATTTGGTAAGGAGAGAGAAACTGCCATGGAGACCAAAGCCACTGCCACTGAGTCAATTCCGACTCACAGTGACCCTACAGGACAGAGTAGAGCTGCCTTATGGGGTTTCCAAGGCTCTAAGGTCTTTACAGAAGCAGACTGCTACATATCTTTCTCCACAGAGCCACTGGTGGGTTCAAACCACCACCATTTCAGTTCCCAGTCTAGCACTTTAAGTACTGTGCCACCAGGGCTCCTTTTAACATTTAAACTGAACCTTATAGAATAGGTAATTATTTTAATTGATGTCCTGACATTATGACTAACAAGTTATTAGCTACTTATGTATTTATTATGTACATGATGCAGAGATAAGGGTCAAATGCTATGGACTAAATGAAGTCAAGAGAGTAACATGAGCAAAAGGTATGTTCTAGTACTAGCTGGAACGTAGTTATGTGCACAGCAAAGTAACACAGAACCTGCTGGGCAGAGTGAGCCTTAAACGCTGATGGCATGTGCTTTTGAAGGTTTTTGAGTGGGAACTGATTAGAACTGTACTTTAGGACTATTACACTGAAAAGATATGCAGAGATTATTAACTGAAATAGAGACAGACACCTGTAAAAGGTTATTTCAACAGCTGATGTGTGTAACAGATACCACACAGAGTGAAGGCAGTGGAAAGAAAAAGAACACATGGGAGATGACAGGAGGTCGTATCACAAAGATCTGGTTACTGAGGGACTCCATGGAACCAGAAAAGGGGGCAGGGAGAGGTAACTAACTCAGTCATGATTGACAGAAACTGGTGGTACCACTTAGAAAAACCTGGAAATACGAACACATATTGATTGATTGGTTTGGAGGAAAAGAAACGGTTTTGTTTCAAACATGTTATTTGAAGCAATAGTAAAGCATATAATGTTTAGGAAAAAGTCAAATTTAGCTACAGAAACAGAAACTTAAAAGGTTGCTGTATGTACAGTGGCTAAATGACACATTCTAATTTTAATCACATACATTAAAAATAGAACTTAAGCTGATGTACTTTTTTAAAATTAAAACATAACTTCTCTCCCCTTCTCACACACACACACACACAAAAGTCCACACATTTCCTCACTTCTCTCACACACACAAAAGTTTTATAGCCTTTAGGGTACATGAGATATGCTTTTTTTAAGTTGAATTTTATAACAAAAATTCAAAAGAACCAGTCCGAATTCTTACATTACAATAAAATTATATCTAATATTACTTACTGTTCAATTGAGTGAGGCCTGGCAAACCTTTATATGCATTATTTTACTAGCCTTAGATGGAATATGATTATCAATATATAGGTATATTATTTTATAAATTCCAAACAGTTTCAAAGCGAATTCCCACATTTATCCATTATTATCATCACTGTCTTCTTCTAACTTAATAAAGCAAATTGAATACAGAAATATACTCCAAGCTTTTGAGCTACATTGTAGATTATCTACCACCAGTTCCTACTTTAAGTTTCTAAGAATTATAGTAAATTCTGATTCACGTGAATGAATGAAATAATGAAACAGGCCAAAAAGACCCTTATAATGAGAATTAGGAATGGGATATATAACTTAAAGATGTTATAATCATTTTACATTCCCTAAGCATGCATTAAGGAGCTCTGGTAGAACAGTAGGTTGTGTTGGGCTACTAAAAAAAAGCTCAGTAGTCTGAACCCACTAGTCATACCATTAGGAGAAAGCAGTCTGATTCCATGAAGATTTATGGCCTTGGAATCCCTGTGGGGCAGTTCTACTATGTCCTACAGAGTCACCATGAGTAGGAATACATTGGATGGTGGTAGGTTTTAAGCAGTATTTCACACACAGGGCAGGCCTAAGGTATGGTCAATACTGAACACTGGAATCGGGAGTAACTAGGATAGAAGCCAGGTCATTCCCCTAAGTAAAAAGGGACAGTAGACATTCCACAATGTAAAAAAAAATCACAAGATTGTCTCTTAATATACTCGGTGAATGGCTGAAAACATTTTGATGGGTTTAAGGCCCCAAACTAAGAAACGCTGATTATCACATTTTAGGTTTTCTACTCTAAATTCTCAATTAGTTTCTTTTTGCTAGCAATACCAGTAATGGGGTATTCAAATGTTTTAAATAGCCTTTTAAAAACTGATACAGCTAATTTATTTCAATATAGCTTTCTAAATGGACATTCCCAACTTAATTGGTCATTTGAGAAAGCTCAAAATTGTTCAATTTTTCAACAGATCCACCAAGTGTTTTCAACATGCCTCAAGCAGACTTAAAAAGAATTTTTTGGGTATTATCCCTTCCTATTATTATTTTACTTTTTCTAACCACACCAGATTGTAGAAGAAAGTTTTGGAAAAACTATTTTGTGATTACATTTTTTATGTCTGCACTATGGATATCTGCATTTACATACATCTTGGTTTGGATGATCACAATAACTGGTATGTATCCTAAATAAAACAGCATAACTTAAAAGTAATAATTTCTTATAAAAACAAATTGCTTATATTCTATGAAAGAATTGTACATAAGGAGCAAATTTCTTTTTCAGCAAGACTGAAGATATGTGCTGCTTACAAAAAGACTATTAATATAATAGCACAATTTTGAGGTTTTAAGAGTCATCTAGTACATGTCAAATAGAGTCTATTTACTATCCAGCCCAGGGGTATCAGTCTTCTGATAAATGAAATCTAACTCACAGAGGTCTTTATATTATGCTACTAATTAAATTACATTAGATAAGGTTCACAATAAGCTCTTTAATTCAGTGAATTTGGTTCTATCATGAAAAATAGCATAGCAAAGTGCCAGTGTTTTAGGAAATGGAAGCTCACTGTTTAACTGTATTATCTTATATTTTGCTTTTCACTATGCTAATAGAAGCATACTATGAAATAAGAATGATAAAGGGTATAAAATCAAGTTTCATTTTAAACTTCTACCACCTTCGTGATTAAATTAGTTCTACTACTTGACTATGATCAGCTGTAGTCCCAAGAACTCCTAGTACCAGAACGGGAAATAAAAACACAGAACAGTAACAAAATAATTTTCAATGTCTACCAAAAAGGTTTTTATCAGGGGTTGCCAGTTTTACCACCTGTGTGCCAAAACCACTCACTTCCTATTTGTATTGCTAGTTTCACTGAATACAGTGCCACACCAATTCATTCATATTTACCGAGGGATGCTCCAGGCTACCCCTCTAAAGCTGAGTAACTGCTATGGAGACTATCTGGCCACAAAGCTTAAAATAAGCACTACTGGGCCCATTCCACCACTTGTCTGTCAGTTTGTCGCACTGTGGTGGCTTGTGAGTTGCTGTGATTTTGAAAGCTATGCCACGGATATTTTAAATACCAGCAGGGTCACCCACGGTGGACAGGTTTCAGATGAGCTTCCAGACGAAGACAGACTAGCAAGAAGGAGTGATGAACTACTTCTGAATATTTAGTCACTGAAAACCTTATGAAGAGCAAAGAAACTCTGTCAGATGTGCCGGATATTGAACCCTTCAGGTTGGAAGGCACTCAACATGCAACTGGGGAAGAGACAGATAGCTCCTCAAAGGAGAGTTGACCGAGATGACATGAATGGAGTTAAAGCCTTTGGGACTAAAGCCCACAGAACCTTCATTTGCTGATGGAACACAACTCAAAATGAAGAGAAACAGCTGTAAACATTCACTGAAAATTGGAACACGGAATGAACGATGTATGAATCTCGGAAAACTGTAAGTTGTCAAAAATGAAATGGAACACATAAACATTGATATCTTAGTCATTAGTGAACTCAAATAGGCTGCTATTGGCCATTTTGAATCTGACAACCACACGGTTTACTATGCCGGGAAAGACAAATTGAAGAGGAATGGTGTTGCATTAACTGTCAAAAAGAACATATCCAGATCAGTCACAATGCTGCCTGATAGGATAATATCCATGCGCCTGCAGAGATGCCCAGTTAATACCACTATTATTCAAATTTACGTACCAACAACTAAAGCCAGTGAGGATGAAATAGAAGAATTCTACCAACTTCTTCAATCTCATAATGGTCAAACATGCAATCAAGATGTATTGATCATTACCGCTGATTGGAATGCAAAGGTTGGGAGCAGAGAGGAAGGATCAGTAGTTGGAAAATGATGCTGGAGTTCACATGATAGAATTCTGCAAAATCAATGATTTGTTCATTTCAAATACCTTCTTTAGACATCCTAAGAGATGACTGACTATACATGTGGACCTCATGTGATGGGATTTGTAAAAATCAAATTGACTATATGTGGAAAAAGACGATGGAAAAGCTCCATATCTTCAGTCAAAACAAGGCCAGGGGCAGATTGTAGAACAGACCATCAATTACTCATATGCAAATT